CACCCCGGTAAAGCCAATGTTGTCGCTGATGCTCTCAGTCGGAAAGTCAATCTTGAAAAGCGAAGGCCAAGAGCGTTGAGAATTGAAGTTGTCTCAACCATTTTAGAAAGTATAAAGAAAGCTCAAGAGGAAGCTTCGGAGAAGAATGACCGAAGGAGAACGTTTGGGCAAAACGTTGGTGTTCGGTGTAAACAGTCACGGACTGAAGGTGTTCCAAGATCGGATTTGGATACCTAAGACAGGAGGAGTCAGAGATCTTCTGATGGAAGAAGCTCACAAGACCATGTACTCAATTCATCCCGGTAGCACTAAAATGTATAGGGACCTGAAACCCTATTATTGGTGGCCGACGATGAAGCTCGACATTGCGAAGTATGTGGCCGAGTGTGTGACTTGTGCAAGAGTCAAGGCACAACATCAGAAACCGTACGGGAGTTTAGAACCATTGCCTGTGCCTATGGGTAAGTGGGAAGACATTACTATGGATTTTGTCACTAAACTGCCCAGAACAAAGAATGGTCACGACATGATTTGGGTGGTCGTCGATCGATTCACTAAGAGTGCGCATTTCATAGCAGCCAATGAGAAATGGTCTATGGAAAAGCTTGCGAATTCTTATGTGAAGGAAATTGTGAGACTTCACGGTGTTCCGCTAACAATTGTGTCGGATCGTGATAGTCGTTTCACCTCAAGATTTTGGAAAAGTCTACAAGAGGAATTGGGTACCAAGTTGTGTTTAAGTACAGCTTACCATCCGCAGACTGATGGTCAGAGCGAACGGACGATACAAACACTTGAAGATATGTTGAGAGCGTGTACCTTGGAATTCCTAGGTAATTGGGATGAACATTTACCTTTGGTAGAATTTTCCTATAATAATAGTTTTCACTCGAGCATAAAGATGGCACCTTATCAAGCTTTGTATGGACAGAAGTGTCGTACGCCGTCTTGTTGGCTTGAGGCTGGGGAAAAGCAGTTTATGGGGCCGGAGATAGTCCATCAAACTGCTGAAAAGTTGAAAATAATTAGGGAGAGAATGTTAGCAGCTCAGGATCGTCAAAAGAGTTATGCTGAAAAAAGCGAAGACCGATGACTTTTGAAGTTGGAGATTCGGTTTTGCTTAAAGTCTCGCCGTGGAAGGGACTTATAAGATTTGGAAAAAGGGGAAAGTTAAGTCCAAGGTTTATTGGACCGTTTAAAGTTCTTCAGAGGATTGGGAACCAAGCTTACAAGCTCGAACTACCAGAAGAACTGAATGGAATTCATAACACTTTCCATGTGTGTTATTTGAGGAAGTTCACGGGAGAAGTTCCCGACATAATTCCACTTTCAGAGTTGAGGATCGATGAGAACAAAAGGTTGATTGAGGAACCGGAGGCAATTGTTGACCGAAAGACTAAGAAATTGCGACGTAAGATGGTGGAGTTAGTGCTTGTCCGATGGAAACACACGAATGGGCCAAATCTCACCTGGGAGACGGAGAGTGACATGATGAGTCGCTATCCGCATTTGTTTGCTGGTGTGTGATTCCGGGGACGGAATCATTCTAAGGTGGAGAGAATTGTAACGCCCGTGTTTCTAGGCTTGCCATTTTTAGCAATGTAATAGTCTAGGTTAACCTTGTAACTCAACTTGAAATAATAAAAATGTATTATTTGTGAATTATGTGATTTATGTGTGTATTTTCTTAATTTTTATAATTTAATGAATTAAGAATAAAATAAGCGTCAAAATTAAAGTGTGAGATAAGCCCGACATCTTTGCATAAAGTTGTAGTGGTCGAAACAAGGATTCCGGAGATATAAGGAATGCCAAAATCCGAGTTATAACGAAGAAGTTATGACCTGTCGAAGTTTCGCGACAGAACCGACACGACGCCGAGTGACGTAAAATATGAATTTAAGATAGAGCGATATTTAGCCTTAGCGATCTAAACGAAAGTCGTAGATTTCGTTAAACCGAGAGCGTGCATAAAAGGAACGCCCAAATCTGACTTCGTATGAGGAAGTTATGATTTTATGAAGTTTCGACTTAGCAGTATGCAGCCCGAATACTCGATTTGAGATCGAGCGGTTTTTAGCCGAAACAATCTAAATGAGAATCGAAGATCTTGTTGTTAGTAGCGAAACGATGAAAAGTTAGGCGAGAACGGACGTCAGACGAAGAAGTTATGAATTTATAACGAAGTTTTTCTGTCCCGGCCTTCTAAAAATAAATAATAAAAATAAAAGTCAAAATTAGCCGACGGAGTCTAAATGAAAGTTGTAGAGTATGGTCTGACCTTCGCGTGGATATAAAGAACGTCGAAAACGGAGCTCGTATGCGAAAGTTACGCAATTTAGAAGTTTGACAAGTCAATTACGCCCCGCGTAATTTGAGTACGCCCCGCGTACTCAGTCGGATGCAACTTGTCTGACCAATACTCGAGTGCCACCAGTCGACGCACGCAGTGACGTCAAAGTACGCCCCGCGTAACCCGAGTACGCCCCCGTACTGAGTACGCCCCGCGTAATTTGAGTACGCCCCGCGTAATCCCAGACCCAGCAGCCTATAAATAGAACTCGAATTCAGCCATTTTCTCTTGTTCAAACTCTTCCCTCTCTCTAAGTTTTGCCTCGTTTTGCGTGCCGTTTATACCCCAAAGCCCCGGTAATATTCCCGAGCCCCGAAGTAAGATCCGAAGCCCCGAGGATCCCGAAGAGCGTTATTCCCGAGCCGAAACGCTGCCCGCGAGGAGCCCGGTTTTGTGAAGATCTTCCAGATCTACGGAGAAACACCTCTTCTGCAAGCCGTAGTGCTGCCCGATCATCTTTTGATCAAGTGAGTGTGTAGTTATTTTCATTCCAACGCAATATTATGAAGTATTTTCTATAAAATACGTGTTATGTGTATATATTTGGTTGTTATACGTGTGAGTGTATATTCACTCTCTTCTATCTTATAGATCTGATGTATTCTCTATGAAATACGTGTTATGTGTGTATGCCTCATCTGTTATGTGGAATATGTATTGATTAAAACATGTTATACAGGTTTTTAAACTATGTATAAAAATGTATATTTTTATCTACTAATATGTTGGGTAGAACATGGGTAGATAATTGGTGTGTAATAAACAGATGAGAGGCCTCGGTGTTATTGGTGTTATTCTAGTCATTCAGCAGAGTATGGATGACGACCACGGACTATTCTAGACTGTCCTGTGGAACACTAGCAGGCTCATTACCTGTAGGTGTTGTGAACGACGTGTTCACCGGTGTACTCTATCCCCCACATGGTTGCCTTTAGGATACTTATTGTTGAGGAAGCCCCTCTGCAGTAATGTCCGTCCCGATGAAAAATCCTGAAATAGGTTCCTTATAATAGACGTTATTTTTAGGAACGTAAGGTGAGGATAACGGGAATGGGTAATCGGGTTTATTGTTGATTGTTGAAATTAAATATAATTATTGTGGGTTGAAAACCCTATATGCTCACCAGGCTCCCAAGCCTGACCCACTCAGTTGATTTATTTTACAGGAAGTGGCGCAAGAGCTTAAGATGGGCGAACATCAAGTTGTTTTTGTTTACAAGTCTGTATATGTATATATTTGTTGAACGACTTGTAATGTTATCGTTTATGCTTTATGACCTGTATCGGAACATGACATCCCGACTTTTGATTATGAAATGTTTTGATAAATATCTATTTTATCATGTTTTGTTTTTGGGAACAAATTCCGCATCTCTTTTAAAATTAAAAGGATTTACTTTGAAAATTATTTTAAAAAGCATAAATGAAATCGGTCTTTTCTGGCCGAGATTTTGGGGATGTCACATTCAGTCACACTACAGAACTTACTAGTAAACTATAATAGGTATAGTTTAGGGAATTACTACTTATTATTTCTAGAACATTGAAACTTACATAAATTAGTACTTACTGTAGTCAGTTCAAACAAACAATAACAAGAACAAAAAGGAACATTCAATAACAAGAACAGAAAGGAACATACAATAACAAGAACAACAAGGAACATACAATAACAAGTACATAAAGGAACATACATCCGTTACAAGAACCAGATAACTTTAATGTGAGTCTACTTCATGACACAACAACAAATTTGTTCACTACAAATAAAATGACATATAGTGGCACACATTTTTAGTGACATATGGTTAATGTGCCACTATATCATGTTTTTTAATGGGACTTACTATATGCCACTAAAAAATTAATACATTTAATGGCACTTAATCTTTTGTGTCACTAAATTTCATAGTTATTAGTGGCATAATGACTTGATATACCACTAAAACTTTTTTATTTATTAAAAATGCCTTATAAATAATTCTTATAATAACTAAAAAAAATATAATTATAATATTAACAATTTATTTTATATTTCTCATTTAAATCTGTTATTACATATTTATGGAAATTTATTATGTTAATACTTTTAAATTTTGATTTTGCTGTATTAATTTTGAAAACGAAAACTGATTTTTACTTGGGATTAATTTATATTGTTTCCATTAATTTCTCCATTTTCTTGTTTTAAAAAGATTCTAATATAACAATTGCATCGTGACTAATTAGATTTAAGAATAAAAGGAAAATTATTAATTATAACCGAATGCTCATATAACGTTTTTAGCAAATCCATTTATTCAATTTTACATAAATTTTTTATTCAGTGAATCACAACTTAAAGGATGACTCAAGCGTAGACCCACTTATACATCACATCTCAACACCACCACCACTTTCTATTCTCGATTTCTCGTCTATTGTTCAATAATTCCCGATAAATCATGATAAAACTAAAAACTGGTGCATAAAACAAAAGGCACACTTAAAATTAGAAAAACTGATACGTACAACAATCATATCTCACTCTCCCACTCCTGAAGATGATCTGAACGCACTATCACCACCACTATTCGTCGACGCCGGACGCTGTCGTCGGCCTGTGGGTTCTTCCGTGGTCGTCATTGCTTCCGATCCTCGCTGATTCCTAGATAGCCGTCACTTCCTCGATCATCGCCGCTGCATCCTCAATCGCCGCCGCTTCCTCTATTGCCGAAACTTCCTCGATCATTATCGCTTCCTCGATAGCTGCCACTTCTTCGATCGTCGCCGCTGCATCCTCAATCTCACTGTTAGGTATTTTTGCTGCTCAAATAAGCGTATTTACAAATTTCATTTGTTAGTAAATTTGAAGTTGTATACTGCTCGATTTGTTGCAAAATCATTGCCCAAACTGCTAGGGTTTATCAATTTTATGAGAGGCTACCACTAGTACCTTTAAAAGTCAAATAGTTTTTGATTATTAGAACTGGTGATTGAATTTTGTATTTCTCAAATAAGCGTATTTAAGAATTCCATCTTCATTTCTTTGTCACAATCTGGTGACACCATTAGATCATCTAAAAATGATTATGACTTGTTATTTGAGAGGTCACTGGTCCATTAAAAACACACCAACAATTGTTACAGTTTAAAATTTCAATAAATTTTACAATTCTACATATGTTAGAAATATGAGTAAATAAGAGAATTTATGACTATCACTAAGAGCCACTCATAGATCGGAAGGATGAACATCTTTAGTTTTAGGTTCACATAAGCAATTCAAATCAATGTGCATAAGCAATTAAATATAAATAATATGAAAAGAGGAATATGACTAATTGACAACATCTTTAGACATTATTTGACTCCATTGATGATCAACTATTTGTTTCTTATTAGCAACATTGTCCTTCCTTTAGAGCTGATTTTCTTGTTTCTTTTCTTAAGCACATTCTTCATTCTCTTTTTGTTTCTTCAAAAGATGTTCAGGATCCAATTGTCCTGCATTATTGACTTCAACCATATCTTCACATGATAAGCTATGAATAAGAATAACTCATAAAGGCACATATACTCAAGAACTGATATGATTGATGATAGTTCTCTCACAATTATAGAGGTGAGAGTCTCTCCAAGTTCATAAGAAAAATTACAAAATGTTCTGTGACATCCCCAAAATCTCGGCCAAAAAAGACCGATTTCATTTATGCTTTTTAAAATAATTTTCAGAGTAAATCCTTTTAATTTTAAAAGAGATGCGGAATTTGTTCCCAAAAACAAAACATGATAAAATAGATATTTATCAAAACATTTCATAAAGAAATATGATTTCATTTCATAATCAAAAGACGGGATGTCATGTTCCGATACAGATCATAAAGCATAAACGATAGCATTACAAGTCATTCAACAAATATATACATATACAGACTTGTAAACAAAACAACTTGATGTTCGCCCATCTTAAGCTCTTGCGCCACTTCCTGTAAAGTAAATCAACTGAGTGGGTTAGGCTTGGGAGCCTGGTGAGCATATAGGGTTTTCAAACCCACAATAATTATATTTAATTACAACAATCCACAATAAACCCGATTACCCATTCCCGTTATCCTCACCTTACGTTCCTAAAAATAACGTCCATTATAAGGAACTTATTTCAGGATTTTTCATCGGGACGGACATTACTGCAGAGGGGCTTCCTCAACAATAAGTATCCTAAAGGCAATCATGTGGGGGATAGAGTACACCGGTGAACACGTCGTTCACAACACCTATAGGTAATGAGCCTGCTAGTGTTCCACAGGACAGTCTAGAATAGTCCGTGGTCGTCATCCATACTCTGCTGAATGACTAGAATAACACCAATAACACCGAGGCCTCTCATCTGTTTATTACACACCAATTATCTACCCATGTTCTACCCAACATATTAGTAGATAAAAATATACGTTTTTATACATAGTTTAAAAACCTGTATAACATGCTTTAAGCAATACATATTCCACATAACAGATGAGGCATACACACATAACACGTATTTCATAGAGAATACATCAGATCTATAAGATAGAAGAGAGTGAATATACACTCACACGTATAACAACCAAGTATATACACATAACACGTATTTTATAGGAAATACTTCATAATATTGCGTTGGAATGAAAATAACTACACACTCACTTGATCAAAAGATGATCGGGCAGCACTACGGCTTGCAGAAGAGGTGTTTCTCCGTAGATCTGGAAGATCTTCACAAAACCGGGCTCCTCGCGGGCAGCGTTTCGGCTCGGGAATAACGCTCTTCGGGATCCTCGGGGCTTCGGATCTTACTTCGGGGCTCGGGAATATTACCGGGGCTTTGGGGTATAAACGGCACGCAAAACGAGGCAAAACTTAGAGAGAAAGAAGAGTTTGAACAAGAGAAAATGGCTGAATTCGAGTTCTATTTATAGGCTGCTGGGTCTGGGATTACGCGGGGCGTACTCAAATTACGCGGGGCGTACTCAGTACGCGGGGCGTACTCAGGTTACGCGGGGCGTACTTTGACGTCACTGCGTGCGTCGACTGGTGGCACTCGAGTATTGGTCAGACAAGTTGCAACCGACTGAGTACGCGGGGCGTACTCAAATTACGCGGGGCGTAATTGACTTGTCAAACTTCTAAATTGCGTAACTTTCGCATACGAGCTCCGTTTTTGACGTTCTTTATATCCACGCGAAGGTCAGACCATACTCTACAACTTTCATTTAGACTTCGTCGGCTAATTTTGACTTTTATTTTTATTATTTATTTTTAGAAGGCCGGGACAGAAAAACTTCGTTATAAATTCATAACTTCTTCGTCTGACGTCCGTCCTCGCCTAACTTTTCATCGTTTTGCTACTAACAACAAGATCTTCGATTCTCATTTAGATTGTTTTGGCTAAAAACCGCTCGATCTCAAATCGAGTATTCGGGCTGCATACTGCCACGTCGAAACTTCAGAAAATCATAACTTCCTCATACGAAGTCAGATTTGGGCGTTCCTTTTATGCATGCTCTCGGTTTAACGAAATCTACGACTTTCGTTTAGATCGCTAAGGCTAAATATCGCTCTATCTTAAATTCATATTTTACGTCACTCAGCGTCGTACCGGTTCTGTCGCGAAACTTCGACAGGTCATAACTTCTTCGTTATAACTCGGATTTTGGCATTCCTTATATCTCCGGAATCCTTGTTTCGACGACTACAACTTTATGCAAAGATGTCGGGCTTATCTCACACTTAAATTTTGACGCTTATTTTATTCTTAATTCATTAAATTATAAAAATTAAGAAAATACACACATAAATCACATAATTCACAAATAATACATTCTTATTATTTCAAGTTGAGTTACAAGGTTAACCTAGATTATTACATTGCTAAAAATGGCAAGCCTAGAAACACGGGCGTTACATGTTCCATAAAGAGCCCTACACCGCAGACAAGCTTAAATACACTCCTAAGGGAATAATCCTCAAATAGGGACCACTAGGACCACAACCCAGCTGGAACAATCCCCACGATTACAGCAGTACAACAAAATTAGTGCTAAGGTCATAACCACCTGAAGGAATAACATAAATAGAAGGATAAAGCAAAAAGGGTAAAACAGACAATTCACCACGCTCCACAGCTGCTTTATTATTTATTGACCTTTCTACCCCTCCTGCCGTAAACTAGAAGTTCTTGAGGCTTATCATCACACTACAATAAGCTTATAAATTTATAGGAAATGTAATTACCCATATTACTTCATTAGACTCATTAAGTTCATTAAATCAATGTGTTTGTTAATATAGTAAAATCAATGACTTAATAGTGAAAGTCTCATTTCCTTGACTTTCTTTGTTAGGAATCTAATTATTCAACAACATATTTAGGTTATGTTACCTTAATAGTGTTGATTTGGTTTTGCATAGATTCATGATACTGAGTTTCTCCAGACTTGTCAGAAATAAGAACTTGAAGCTCTTCATCCAGGGTCTCACTAGGCATATCCCTTAGTTCCGGCTGCAACCCACCAAAATAGAAACATATTATACTTACAAGTATTTAATCATAATAACACTATATGACTTGATACTTGTAAGCAAAGAACTAAAATAATCAGTGCAGATTTAATGTGGAGTTAGTTCAAGTAGTAAGCAAAGATTAACAAATATGACAGAAAAGAATTAAAATATATGTTATGAAAACCAGCCTTAAAATTTTCAACTCTACCCTTCAGTTTCTTCAACGATTCCTTCACCTTTTAAATAAAAAGATTTATGAACAAACCAGCACTTTGAGATTAACTAATAACTCACATCAAAAGGATATTTATTTTTAATTCTATTAATATGAAAAGGTTAGATTTTTGTGTAAACCTTGTGATGTTCTGAGGCAAGTTCAGATCTCATTTGTGTCAGCTTGTCAAATTTAGCTTTGGTAGCATCAACCTTTGTCATTTTATTATTGTATGCATTATCCTAAAAATACAAGAGTACTTGGATTAAATATTAACTTGTATTAAACTAAGGTGTCATCCAAGGATACATACCAGATTTCCACTTTTGACTAGGGTTGTAGCATCATAGTTTCCTTGACATAAGTTTCAAAGTTTTCATTATTATTTCTTCTTTCAACAATGTTCAACTAGGAAATGAATTTATACCTAAAGATTTAGTATCCATATGGTCAATTTTTGTGTTGACCTGTACCATGTTAATTCAACATTAATAGGGGCATTTCCATCACTAGATAGTAAATAAAGTTTTTTCTATAGTGAAAAGTCTATTAATTAATACAAGTCTCCTGGAAGGAGAGCGGACATTGTGTGTATAGATCTATACGGGACTGACAAGCCCGCGTCCCGACTGTTCGCTACAGTTGGCCGAAAGGCCAGGGGTGACAAATGTCACAATTAATTTTGGCGTCAACAGGTCGTCGTGTTAACTACTTGTTGATTTAACATGGTTATAACCACATCACATCCAAACCTAAATTAACAAACTGGTTTTTAAGGTAATTAGTGTTTCAGTGGGTATTTTATACAACATTACTATACACTTTCATTTTCCTCATTTCATTTATATAGTGATACTCTCACATAAAAGGTAATGAAACTACTTTGTAGAAAAGATAGTCATAAACATTGGGAAAACACACATTACATACTATTTCAAGTACAAACATACAAAATGGTCGGGTCTTGGTAGAAGACTACATTACATCATTTTAAGTGAAACAAACATACAAAACAGTTGGGTCTTGGTAGAAGACTACTCTCCATAATAATATCAAAGATAGGATTTTCTAGGAGATTTCAAACGCATACAAACACTTTTCACAAACTTTTACATCAAACATTTACAAACACTTTTCATCAAACCATACAAACTATTATCACTAAAATACTTATGAACTCACCAGTTTAAATGGTGCTCCTCTCTTTCAAAATAACTTGTATTCTCAGGTCACCAGTAGACAGGTACAAATGACAGGTTTTGAGAAGACGGAGCACTTTCAGACTCGTCTTTATTTTGATTACATGTTGTTAGTATTTTACAACTATACTGAACACACTTGTATTAAATTATATTATTAATGCAATGGATGATATTGTTGCTTGTTTACTATGATGCATTGTTATGATATTGTACGTGACGTCCTCCTCCCCAGAACGTTTCCGCCATTCCAGTTTTGGGATGTGACAAAAGATATGTCAAACGAGTCAATAACAATGGAACCTTGTCCACTTGGAACATTCATATCTAGTTACATTTTTCTGCCACACTATTATATTTTTATACCTTGTTATATGGTCCTATTGTGTTAGGGTGAAACCACATAAACATTTTCCTCAATTAAAACTTAGATGGAGACTCAAAGCATGTGTGTAGATGTGATCATACCATATTTACTATATATGTGTATCTGCTTGTGCTTACCGACATACCTTTATATAATGATCAAATCGTGGCCGTTACCTAGAGGGTGAAGGTCATAATCTAAATAACTTTTGAGGGTAAGAAATTAGTATGTAATGGTTATTTTAGGTGAGGGATTGCTAAGTTTTAAAAATTCCAGATTTGACCTTCTCACGACGTAAGTCCTTGGATGTCACAGCGTGAGGAGGCTGGTGCAGCCGCATTTCATTTTGGGCCTCACAAGGTGAGAATGTTTGGTTCACAATGCGAGGTTAGTCCGAGATGAAACCCTAATTTTGGGATTTTTCCATGTATTTAAAGGAAGTAAGGGATAGGGTTAGCCCACCCTCCACCCCCCATTGCCTCTTTGCACCTCTTGTTTGAACCCTAACACTCATATTTGACCTTGACCTCATTTTTGGGTGATTTTTAGCCATGGAGAAGAAAAAGAAGAGCATCTAGCCCATCATTTTTGCATTCAAGTCTTCCCATCAAGCATCCTTTCACGTTTTGTGCCTTTGTGAGTTTCAAGTTCCTGCTTTATGAGTCTACAAGCTTAGATCTAGGTTTTTATGCTTGAATCCTTCTTTACCATGATGAAATAGTGGTTGGAATCCATAAAGTTAGCAACTTTATGGATCTCCAGTGTCTCTTGAGCATTATAAGTTCTAGATCATGATTTTGGTGGAGTTTTATGACTCTTGCATGAAGATTTGGTATTAATCTCCCATTTTGCACTTTTGTAGTGTTTGGGACATGCATTGGATATGCATGTCCAAAAAGCATGATTTTTATGATGTTGTGGAGTGGTTAAGATCATAGGGAAGATTTGGTTACTTGGCAAAAAGGATTAAGAACTTCATTAAGAAATATTGTTTAGGGGCGTCCTCACAGCGTGAGTTCTTGGATATCACGACGTGAGGATGGAAATCCTCGTATGTTTAGGACTTATTGAGTCACGACGTGACCATTAGAGGTCACAACGTGATCATCGAATCATGGACTTGACAAAGTTTGACCTTAAGGGTATTTTGGGATTTTAACTAAGATTGGTCATTTGGTTGGGATAGGTGTTGATTAGAGCTGAGATTCAGAGTTGAGGCCTCATCAACTTTTATCCAGTTCGAGGTGAGTTTTCTTCAATATACTTACGGGTCGAAGTCACCAATGTTGACCCTTTGGATTCGTTATCCAATTATTCATGCTATTGTATTGTAGTGATCTGTTAGATCGATATATTGTTATATAAGATGATGCTATGCTTAGTGATTTGTAGATATGTTTGACTAGTCGTAGACTACTATATGAATATCTATTATATGTGCACATGTTTGGTCGGTGATTGAGGCTTCATTGCTTTGTGCGTAGGCCAACAAGCTGGGGCATACTAACCCGATGGTTGCAGTGGATCGAGGGTATTCCATCTCGAGGATGATTGGACCCATAGTGTATTGGACTATTGGCATTCCAACCCAATGGTTGAGGGGCTTAGGGTATTCCAACCCAATTGTATTTGTTATATGTTTATGTGTTGGTACTTTGAGGGATCTAACTAAGCTTTGGGCTTACAGTTTTGGGTTATGTTTCAGGTACTTCAAATGATCGTGGGAAGGAGAAGGCGTGACTGTACATATCCTTGTGTTTTGACTTATGATTTTGGGAAACTCTGGTATTGAACATGTTTTGAAATCTATGTGTAAACAATTTATGATTTTGGGTTGGTTTTAAAAGTTTAAAATTTTCATTATTTTTATGGATGTTACATAGTAGTAGATAACTTCTATTTAGGAACCTACCATACATGTATCTACGTCGTGGAGCTTCAGTGAGCTTCCCACCATGGTGAATCCGAAGGGTAGTAAGGTTATCAATGTCGATTTTGTTGCCAAAAAAAACATTCAAAGAAGTTAAGTTGTCATCAAGCATACAAAAAGCATACTAAGGCAAATATCATTAAAAGCCATTTTGAACTTACGTAAACTTAACTTCGTAAACATCGTTTTGGCTTGACGTTGCAAGAACACTCCACATTGTTGGAAGACTTCTAGAAACCATGTAGTAATCAAAAGGGTTTTCTTTGAAGATGCTTTGGAAATTTTTTAATCACTAAGCGTGGAAGGAAAAATCAAGACAAAATGTATGCTGGGTGATGTTAACTGACAACTATGGATAATGTATGCTATACTTAAATGTAATTATGACGCCAATTCAATTAGATAAGAGAGATGAAAGTAAAATGACACCTTTTCCCTTACATGTTGTACACGTGATAGGGAGAAAACGACAACGTTCAAACAAAGTTTGCTCAAGGGATGGGCACTATAATAAACAAGAACCACATGGAGCGGCGGTGTAACAAAAAAAGTTGGACCAAAATAGTCTATCATGTTAAACCACATGGACCATTTATGTAATTTGTCTTTATATATAATTTTGTTAGTGGAGGCCTTTAAGGAATTAAATAAAGAAAACTCAGCTACCTCCCAACCACTTGTATTGTAATTGGCTCTTCCAGTTGTATCGTTCGCCATTATATCAAAAAAGTTTTTCCGTTTTGTAAAGATTAGTAAATTTGAATTGATTTTTATTTTAAGATATGGAATTTAGAAATGAATGTTTGGCGTTTAGGATAGAAACAATATTGATCAAACAACATAAAATAATTCGAATTATATTGGAATATTATATAAATAAATTTGGATTATGATTTAATTAATAAATACTTTGTTTCGGTGGATATTAACAAAAACAACCACTCCATTCGATTAGTATTAACAAAAAAAAACCAAACACTTTTTGGTATTTAAAAAATAAAAAATTGGTTTGAAATGCAATCTGATAGATCGATACTCATTTATATGGTCATAAAACAATGATTTAGACTCGTTTCAAAAAAATATATGCATTTTGTAACATTCCAAAAATACCAAGAAAATTTTTCATTTTTTAAGTTATAAAACCATTCCATAAACATCACAAGTCAAGTAATCAAAAACATAAGTATATTGTTTTCATAAAAATATCTAGTAAATCTCAAAATCTCATAGTACGGAAATCATCGGTAGATGCAATGCAATCAAGCTGACTCCTTTCCTCTGCTACTGGAAGTGCCTAAAACATTTAAACTTATATAGTAAGCACAAAACTCAACGAGTCCTCAAAATTCTACATACCATACATAACAATGTGTCCCGCTCTAGGGGTATATTTCAACTCAAGTGCATGCTATAATCCTACCATAGTCTCACAGACACTTCCGTTGCTACAACCCGGCTACAGTCTTTCGGCCATGGTCACATCATGGTATTCCATGCTATTGTTGTATTCCAACCACAATCTTTCATATGAGTGTTGTGATCCCACCACAATATTTTATGCAAAAGTCACACAGACAACATCTAGTGTCTTACGTAGTATAGTTAGGAAACTCACCTGATCAAAGAGTTGTAATCTTCTACTCGAAAATCCCATAAAATCAGCTACACAAACTGCCTAACCAATCACAAATCAAAACTCAAGCTACCACTCAAAACCTCTCC